CCATCCCTCAGACCCAGCTTTCCCATCCAGACGACGGAGGCCGCCACATTTCCTGCGCAGGGTTGCTGTCAAAATGAATTAAGTGATGTCCAAAGAGTACTTTGAAATGCAGATATTATGCTCACTAGTTTTAATGCCTCCAAAGCGGTCTCCAGATATCTCTAAATCCTCAAGATATCCCTGATCAATTCCTGTTTTACAGATGAGGAAGCCGAGCAGAGGGAGGGATGCTTTAGTGTCCATATCCCTTTTATGTCGGGTTCTGCAGGTCCCCCTGACCTTGCCACGGGTCAGGCTCCGAGCTGCTGCCCCGCAGGGACTGAATCCCACCCAAAACCACATTTTGCTGATGACACAGAGCAAGCATCGTACCCGCAGTGTGCCCACCCCTGATTACTAACCCCCTATAAAGCTATTTCCTTTGACAAGTTAATGCCTGGGCTTGAGCTCCCGTCCCCTCCCACAACCTGGTGTTACACATGTATTTCTGGCATCCACTGTGCCTTGCAAGACCCCCCCCCCCCAAAAAAAAAAAAAAACGTGGGCGTTATGGGGCTGAACTAAATCTCTCCATGTATTTTCCTTGCCTTTGTAGGTGCACCAGGAAGGAGCAGGACACAGGAGCTTCTAGTCCCCAGGCCTGTGATCAAATTATCTCTCCCTCTGTCACACATCCTAATCATCACAGCTGGCGGTCATGCCAACAATATTAACGCTGCTGAGTAGCTTTCAGTTTTGCAATTAGCAAGGTTTTCTGCTTCCCTCAAATAAAAAAAAAAAAAAATAGGCTTGTACTACTTAACGCTGCATAAAAGATACAGAGACATTCAAGGCCCGTGTTACTGTCTCGTTGAGATGAACTGACATTCTAAGTGCTGTAGATATTTTAAATCTTTTGAAGATTACAACAGTTACAAAGCTCATTATTTCTAAACGTGTTTATCCTTCCTCTCTTTTTTGTTTGCAAAATTAGGCAATGCGCAGTTTAAATAAACAACTATTGTACTATTAAACATTGATTAAAGAAAAGGGTTCCATTTAAATTATTAAGTGCTAAGATAAAAAGCATTCCCTTCTCTTTTGTACGCTACTTTATTCAGAAGTCAAACTTCTGTAGTCTCACTGAATGCTAATGAACAGCATAATAATGCACAAGGGCAAGAGGGGGCTGAGTAATTAAAAACAGAGGCCAGAAATCAAAGGGCTTGAAATATACTTACCAAAATAATTCAATTATACATTAGAAACCTGGGATAATCAAGACACATCCCACAGTTTCATTCATCATTAGCCCCCAGTTTAATATCTGCACGGGTTCCGCTGTAGGCAGGAAGCAGCGACTGGGACTTTGGGGTGTGATGCTCCAGCTGAAGAGACAAAGGCGACGCGCACTCGGGTCCCATCTCATCACCCCACACCTCGGAGGTGGCTTCACTTGACTGAGTGTATTCTCAGCTAAACTGATTTAGGGAAGGATTTCAAAGGCGACGCGCGCTCGGGTCCCATCTCATCACCCCACACCTCGGAGGTGGCTTCACTTGACTGAGTGTATTCTCAGCTAAAACGATTTAGGGAAGGATTTTTAGCCACAAGGTATTTCTGTATTGGTTGCGTATTCATTTTCTCTCTAGCTTTGCAATTAATTAATACAAATCTCCACACCCGCCATCTTAGCCTGCCTATAAATCCATCCCTCCCCACCCCCACCCGCTCTCCTTGGCTTCACCTCTTCTTGTGGCTCCAGGCTTTCCCGGTTATCTGTAAAAAACCTGTGCCAAGCAAAGCAGCAGGTAGGTCCATTCAGCAAATCCTGTATTTAGCTGGGATGGCCTCACGAGCCTCTGAGGCTTTCACGCAACACAAACTGGGTCAAAAAAAGTCCTGATGTAGCTTTGCCACGTCACCACTCTTATGGGCCAAGAGCTCCCAGCGCAGCTTCTAGTCTCCAGGATGGCAAAGGTCAGGGGGAACTGTGCATTTCAAGGAAATTCCGGTGTGAAACGGTAAAATAAGGAAAAAAGAGTCAGTCTGACCTTGCTCAGTGATTCTGGAGATCAACAGAGGATTTATGTGATTTTTGCCTTGTGCAGTCCTGATGCAATAAGCACCCATTGGCACCGACAGCAGCTTCATGGAGGAAACTCCAAGTGATGCATTGTCAGGAACCATGGAAAAGCCACAAAAAGTGAGAAGTTTCCAGCTGGCAAAGGGCAGCTCTGCTGCTCAGAAAGTTTGCAGATGCACAAGTTGTTCCCTCCCTTCTGCCACATAATTAAGGCAACGACAGGTGAAAACTATTGGAAACAATCAATTTCAGCAGAAATTCAGGAATTTCAGCAAAACCAACACTCAATCAGCTTCCTGAGGAATCAGAGTCTGATTGTCTTATTAGAATTCTTAAAGGTTTAAGCACAGAAACTACCAGTTGTCTCTAATGAGCGCAGAAGTCAAACAAGCACTGCTGTGCTGCACAAGCTGAGAGGAGCCTTTGGGCCAACGTGGGTCACAACGTTAAACGGTAGAAAAGGGAAACAAGAATCTCAGGTCAAGTCTTCCAAAACTAGGGGTCTTAATTAAAATGAAGGTCATGACTTTAGAAGATGGGTGCTGTTTAGTATGGTCCCAGCTATTACCAAGATTTGCTGCATCTTCTATTTAGAAGAAAAAGCACCACACGAGACAGAGTGAATGCACGTTCTGTGACAGCAGCAAATGTGGGTGTCTCCAACTTTCCCCAGCCCTATCAGCTCCGTTTGCCTCAATCAGAAATAAAGCTCCTTTTGAGGTGATTCAGTTTCCCCAGAAGATGTACATTCACTCATTAAAAAGGAGATCATTAAGACCAACAAACCAGCCCGTAACGCAAAGCCAGAGCAGCGTTTGCCATGGGGGAGAGGGGAAAGCACCAGTTAAGACAGATATAATTTCAACATACAGTGAAGCGGAGAACCAAATACCTATTTTTCCCCATTTTTCTAATGAGGAATTAATTTTTAAAGAGAAGACATTACCGCACGCGTTGCTTGGTTTTGCAGAGGGATTGATGAAAGGGGGGAGCTATACCCAGGGGCAGAGCCTGAGCTGCACGGGACCCCCACCACTCAATATTCCTTTCCCAAGTTTGGTGATGAAATACTCTAATAGATATCATAGCGACATCCTTTTTCAAGAAACAGTCTAGGGCAGTAATTCTAACAGGACAAGTCAGCTGTAATGAATCTCTTTCCTCGGCGCAGATGGGGCCTCACTTTACTCACACGCACAGCTTCTCCCCCTTCCTAAGACTACAAGGAGACAAAAGCAAGTGGCTCCGGCCTCTTATCTTACCTGCCTTAAACAATAAAATGGCTGAATCTCTTTCCTCGGCGCAGATGGGGCCTCACTTTACTCACACGCACAGCTTCTCCCCCTTCCTAAGACTACAAGGAGACAAAAGCAAGTGGCTCCGGCCTCTTATCTTACCTGCCTTAAACAATAAAGTGGCAATCAATGAATGGACTTCTTTTTTTTTTTATTATTTTTTTTTTTAAATATGCAATTACATGAAATAGATTCCAGAAGTGACAAAACCCAGAACAACTCCACAAACACGGAGCTGGGCTCTGATTTCTATCAGTGTGAGATCAAAGTAGTGTAGCTGCTCATTTACAGCTCAAAGCTGCGCTATTTTCCCTCACTCAGGCTGTTTCGCTAGTCGGACTGAACCCGGTAAAGCAGAAATATCAAGCCATCTTGATATTCCTTCCACAGTAAATAACGATTTACAAAGGAGGGGAGAAAAAAACCCTCCCTTTCCCTCCCTCTTTCAATTCATTAAGTTCAGCTGCGATAACCAGCGAGGCATACGGGAAAGGGTTAGGTATCTCTGCCTCTGAATATTTAATTCCAGACTAAATGTAATGCACAGCATCCTTATACCCCTGGGAGTTCAGCAGCCAATATGCCAATGAATATATCCTGACAATAGTGATATTTTCTGCACTTTGGAGGCATGAGTGACATTTGCTCGCCACATATGTTACATCGGATGCTGAGGTCTACACTTGTGAGAAATTAATCAGATTCCATCTGTTTCCTCCTCATCCTGGACAATTTCATTACAACTAAACCAAAGATTATAGGATTCCCATGTCTGCGTACCCAGCCCCCAGCCCAGTCTTGGTGCTTCCAGACCGAACGATTAAAGCTGCTTAGTTTAAGTGAGGTCAGAAACAATCTTCCTTCCTGTAGGGAAAGGCATAATGCTCCTGAGCAGGGTCCAAAATCTGCTCTAAATTACACGTAGGTAAATCCAGAATATCCCTGCTGACCCAAAGCGGGGTTGGATTTACCGTGGAGCAGGATCTGGACCTTGGTCCTTCGATGCGTGTTTCTGGTGGCTGATTTTGATGGGCATCAGGCTCGAGATGGCACAAAGATGGTGACTCTGCAGGTCCCCTGTTACATTTTCACTTACCTGCCCGGGGGGGTGGCAAGGGGTGGCTCAGCCTTCCTGCTGCACAGTCCTCTGCTACTGCCCGGAAAAGAAAGGGCTCTTTCTTAAAGCGTTCCCTCTGATAACATAGGAAGCTTAGAAAATTCTTTGCTTATTTCTTATTTATTAGTACCTCTTTAATTGGATGTAACAGCAAGGGAGAACCGGACTTAAAGATTTGCTCGGACTCAGCTGATTTATAGTGCTAAATATTGCACAATGATGGACATATTTGCTTGAAAGTGAGGTTTTCTAAGAGTTCTCTGGGCAAGGCACAAATGGGGTCCGGGAGGCCAAACCTGGGATCAAAAGGTCTCCAGGCTGCAGGCTGGCTTGGGCAGAAGCTACACCACCAACCCATGCAGGAGATGACAGGTCCCTTTTTAGGAGAGCAGCATCTCCTGTACGTGCTACCAACCCAGAGCCCTTCGGCCACTTACCCGTGAGCACTTTTGCTGCTCGGCCTGAGGGATGGAGGGTACTTGGAGACATGAGGTTTCCCACCAGCTGCAGCTGGACCACTCACCTCTTCCAGTGGTGGCTGGTCCCACGGTGCAACTTGAGGTCCAGACCCCAATACCTGAGAAGGCAGAAAGCAGGAGCTGGTCCTGCTGAGCATCCAGCTGCTGGACGTGAGCGTTAGGTTAACATGGTTGCCCTAAACTAGACAAACATCTCCCATCATGGCCCCTTCACTGGGACCAGCCCCAAAACCAGAGCACGCTGGTGGTCAGAGAGGAAGGAGGCAACCAAGCAAAGATTGCAGGGACCAGCTAGAAAGAGCAGCCATAAGGAATAGCTTGTGGCAATGAGATTTGTCTGCGAGCAAAGCAGTTCACCCACCAGCGGGGTGGTGGTGGCTGGAGGCAGGTGAGATCTGCAAAACAAAACACACCATTCAGCCAGTCCAAGATGGAAAAAGGCTCCCTGACCCCGTTTGGAGCTGCACTGCCTTCCCTCCTTCTCCGAGCTATTATTCCAGCTGACTTGCAGACACCCGATAGTTATGTTTGAAGGGAAGGTGCATCGGCTCAGGCTGTCACCGCCTGTCTTTTCAATCAGGAGTTACTTGATCAGGTGCTTTTTTGCTGTACCGTAATCACACGGTACCAGGGCTTTAAAGAGGACCCAGATTCCTGCTCCAGTGCTGGCTACTTCCTCGCCAGAACGCTGTTGACACATTGGGAGATAGCTACGAAAGAAAAGAAAGATCTTGCATAAATTAACTTACGCTATTTATAGACATGGAGAGCGGTCTATCCATGGGACCATCTGCTAATCTGTGTCCCATGGCAATTAAAGTCAACATTTCACCATATCTTCTCCATCGAGGGCTGAGATTATGCACTGTACTCTTTTTTTTTTTCATATAACACCGACCTTACATCTGTGCTGCTCAGTGTCTCTTTCCAACGTTCCATAACACTTCCCATAGCCAGTCCCCGAGCGCCTGCTACAAGAAAGGGAAAATGCAAACAGTTTCTTTTTATTACTGTGAGGTCAAGGGGCCAGTGGGGGACAAAGGCTCTATTTATTTCATTGATTCTCAATAACTTTTCTGTTTTAACAGAAAAAGAAAACAGACGTTACGCACTAAATTAATTAATCTATAGATTAGATACAAAGTGGACCTCATGCAGTCAAATCTTTTCAGTGCTCCTTGTTATAAACATCCCACGTACATTTTCAGAAGCAACTTATGATTTTTGGACATTATGTTTCTAAGCATCCAACCCAAGATGCTTTCCAAAATTATCAAAAACCTCTTGCCATCTCATTTTTTTTCAAGGAAAGCTGGAAGCCTAGAAAGTATGGCATCCGAACACTTTGCCTTAGAGAACACATAAAGACAAAAACCCAACTACAATATATAGCTTGCCCATATTATAGGTACTAGAGAATTTTCTGAAGTAACCTAAAAGCTTGAGTCCTACTGCCTTATTCTGTATCTTTTCACACACAACACACTTTTATTACTCTATGTAATTTTAATAATTTACACTGGCACTGTCATTTTAGCAACTGCATTCACTACATTTAGCAACAGGAATTACTCTAAAAGCAAGGAAGAAAATAGAGAAGATTCGATTAGCAGGAAGATTTGCCAGAAAGGCAGCCTTAGGGCAGGACTGAAGGACTCTTGCTCAGGTGAAAGATTACATTACAGAAACGGAACTCAGGGATACATGTTTCATGGCCACTAATACATTTGATTAATTAAAAAAAAAAATAAATAAAGGCTTTCTTAGCTAGCATAGTTGATCAGTCGCATGAGTAACATCTCAAGCTCCACCTCTGCCATAGCTGGGATCACAAAAAGCTTCTTTTTCCCACTTATGTGGGGATGTGTGTGTGTGAGAGCGCGAAAAGATTTGAAATGCTAAGCAGAAACACAACCAAATATTAACTATTTCTGTCTGAAACTTATGACAGTCACAAGACAATTGAAAGTCACGTGAGCACAGAGATATTAAAGATTTTTTGCTGCCTGAGTCATTCTGTGTGGGAATGTTCCCCTCCCAGATCTCCCTTCCCCTTCCAGCCTCCCCAAAACTTTCTTCTCTGGTTTCCACTTTCCAACAAAGGATACAAAACCTCTGAGACTGCAGGTGCTGAGGATGGGCTTTACAACCCCGACCCAAAGGTCTAAACTCTCTTCTCAGAACCTAGAGGTTATTATGCAAAGTCCTAGAGGAGAAAAACTGGTGTAATACCTTCCCTCAGCAGCTAAAAAGATAGAACAGATCATTACTGGCTACGGATATAACAGACACAAAGCATACCGGGGCAGAGATGTATTTGTGGAGAGGCTTTAAAGCCATTGTTGTCCATTTTTGCACATTAAAACCCACAAAGAGATTTATTTAGAGCACTAAATCATTTCATTTCTCTCTGGCTACATTTTTAACTATTAAAATATTCATCATGCACTCCAAGAATCTCGATGCCAAGTATTTATTTTATTTTTTTATAACCTTTTCAATAACTTCTTTAAAATATTGTCAGGTATACATATTGGTCTTAAAAAAAACACGGAAAATATGAGCTTATTGTAAAACACCAGAGAAAGAAACAAGGCATCAGGCACCACTGAAATTAGAGATGTGCCCATCAGCAGTGGCCTCTGACCACGGTGCAACAAAGGGGTGGATTCCACGAAATTCAGTATCCAGGGAAAAGAGAAAAGCCTTTTTTTTTTTTTTTTTTCCCCCCAAGTTGAAAGCTTTTAAAGTGAAAGTTCTTGGGGCTTCACATAAGTAGATGTAACTTTCTACTGCCAAATAGGCTGGGGGGGAGAAAAGGCTTCTATAAAGGGAATAATTTTGTTAAAACCTCACCTTTTAGATTTCCCTTCAGACAGACAATATTTTTTTTGTAAGAAGGATGGGTGGCACTGAGAGAAATCACTATTTTCTGTTTGAAAAAGCTCCCCCTCCTCTTGTTGCTCTCTTGGACTGAGAGGATACCCCTGGCCATGAAACGCTGCTCGGTAGGAACCAGCCCTCAGGGGGGGTGCTGGGGGGTAATCTCCCCGTGCTGGGTGCTAGATGCTTTCCCCCCAAGCACCCTGGAACCAGTGGGTGCCTCCAGATCTCTCCAGCCCGACCAGGGTGGGAGCCACATGAAAGTCCTGCTCTGGGCAGCCTGATATAGTCAGTCCTGATCAGCCCAGGCTGCCTTTGTCAGACACAATTAACAAGCTGCCTCGTCGAGGTGAATATCATATGGCCATGCATAAGGTGCTGTCCCCGCAGCCGGCTGGCCCCCTGTGGTTGTCACCGAGGGGCCACGTGCCACCAAAGGGGGTCTTCTTACCCGGGGTGGGATGGGATGAAAGGCACGGAGTGGTAATAGCTGGGGTTGTAGCTCACAAGCTCATCCCAGCACAGCTTTCCTGGCCAGAGGACCAGCAGCACCACGGAGACTCAGCCCACCTCGCCCCGTAGCTTTCAGGACGGCGGCAGAAGGAGCATCTTCTGCCTGGAAAGACACTTTGGAGGGAGCCTCTGACAGAGACCGAGGGCAGGGCTGGCTCAGATGCCTTCACACCCCGGTGACATGGCTGCTCCTCACCCTGCAGCCTCCTCAGCTGGAGATGCTGAATGTGATCAAATACAGTTTGGCAGCTGTAAAGCTCAGTTACAAACTGCCTGGGAAGAGATTACCTTCGGTTTCAAGAACATTTATTTTAATCTGAAGAGAAGCAGAGACCTCCTCTCTCCCCCCCGTGAAGCCTCTGCTTCATGCATGGAGCCAAGCTCATTCTCAAACACCAGACTTTGAACCGTTACCTTCCTCTCTATATTCCCACATGTGATTTAATATTTTTTTCATGTGGAAGAAGTTATTTTAACTGTCTTTCTGTTTCTTCTCACAGAGCAAGGAGTCAAAGAGTGAGACACAAACCTGAAAAACAATACCAAACCGTTACTGACTGCTTTGGCATCTCCTCCAAGAGCTCTCTGGCCACCGTGGCTCCTTGGAGGCCAATGGCTGGCAGCATCTTCAGGCAATTCCATACAGAATTTGTGCCATTGCTTCTCTGTCCAAGGGGGTTTCATTCTGCATCTCTATAAACACAGGAAGGAGAAGAGGCTGTTTACCATTTATAGTCTCCGAGGAGTAAGGGATGTGCTTGCACATAGTTATTCCACCTGTTTTGTTTTCTCTCCCAGACACTGAGATTAATGAAAGAAGGCAAGTAAGACTGCATTTGTAGACACTGACTACATTATTACCGAACACAGAACTTAACACTGAACGTCTGGGTCATTTAAAAGGTGACGTGCATTTGTGAGAAAACGCATTTAGTTTATTTATGGACAACAGAGACACCCTGGATTCACTATATCATAGGCTTTCCCAAGCGAAATGCTCCAGTCAAGGTAGAGTAAGTGAAGATGTCTCGCAACTGGGGAGGAAGCTCATTCCTTTTCAGCAAATTGCCGGTTATATGGCATATTAGATATCATTAATGCATTAAATATCTCTTACTGAAACATGACCTGCTACTTCCACAAACAAGTCTTACCTTTACCACATTTATTTCCTACAAACTCTTTGATTTTCATTTAATGTCTATCTAAAAGGCTGAAGACCCAGGCACTCCACTCACTTGCACTGACATTATCTTTTAATTAGCAGAGGTCGCTTAATGCTTTTAGTACAATCAACAGTTGCTTTCCTTCCATGATCAACTGCAAGAGCATCACAGTTAATGCAGACTGATTAAAACTCGAAAATCCTTTAGCATAAAAGTATCTCAGGACAAATATAATCAAGCCGTTGCATGTAGATCATTTTCCTTGACAGCTTTGATTGCCACTCCATCAGCCTGTGACTGATTATCACTGTGCACTATCATTTGATAGAAAACACCCTGCTTTGCCCAAGCACCACCAGGTCACAGGATGAACAGTTCAGGGTCTGCAAGTAATCGGTCCCTCTTCTTCTATCGTGGGTCTCACCAGAGGATTGACAAAGCTGTGGGTGAAATTCATCCCTGGGGCTGTCTCCAGCTGCATAGCTTTGCCATCCTTTAAGTGCCTCCAAAACCTGGCCTCAGAAAAAGGAAAACTAGAATTAGGGTTCACACGTGCTTGGTAAGAGGTAAATAAAGCTCTCA